TATGTTGACAGCCAGATGTTGTTCGATAACACGCCAAGTCGAGTTCTCATCTTAAACATCGTTCCGATAACGTGAGATTGCACGTATAATGTAAATACTGCGTGTAAATAGCAGTAAATCCATCTGAACTCAGCAAATAATAAATTTCCTCGATCGAAAATTTTTTTAAACAGTTGACACATTGTCTTGTTGACAACAGTCGACTTATTGTCTCTTTTCAAAGCTATTAACAGTTAATCGAGAAAAAGAAAGGAAATTAAACAATACAAGTGTGAAATATTTTATAATTAATAAATCCATCTGAACTCAGCAAATAATAAATTTCCTCGATCAAAAATTTTTTTTAAACAGTTGACACATTGTCTTGTTGACAACAGTCGACTTATTGTCTCTCCTCAAAGCTATAGCAATCGAAAAAAAGAAAGGAAATTACATAATGCAAGTGTGGAATATTTTATAATTATGCTCGCAATTAAAGACATGTACGGCAAGGGGTGCGTTCGGGGAGACGCTATTAGCGCTATTTAGCGCTATCGACTGTTCACGGAGCTAGCTGGTAGTGCTATCAAACGCAATTATGACGTCATTAATGGTAGTGTGATATGTCATAACTGCGCGCTATCAACGTTATTCCTTCCGAGGTAGTGTGTTGGTAGCGTTAGCGTTTGCGAGCTCCGTGAACAGCAATAGCATAGCGTGGTAGCGCGCTTCTGCTAATAAAAATGGAGCAAGATCGTAAAAAAGCAATATTAACAGCAGTAGCACTTATAATGCAAGAATTAATAGATTCATCGTCTGAGAGTGATGATGGTGAAGAATGAAAAATTATAGAATAGAGTATAAATGTAAGAAAACATGTACCATGTCTCAGCATTAAAAATTAAAATATCGGCATTTCTCACATTTTCCGTTGAATTATCAGATGAATGTTTGTAACAAAATTAGGTGTTATTATTTCCAACTAGTTTAATATTGGACAAAAGATTTATAATTGGACTGGATCTTTTGTCCAGCATTTAACGTGTTGAAAATAATAACACCTAATTTTATTACAAACATTCATCTAATAATTCAACGGAAAATGTGAGAAATGCCGATATTTTAATTTTTAATGTTGATACATGGTACATGTTTTCTTACATTCATACTCTATTCTATTATTTTTAAATCTTTACTATCATCACTGTTAGACGATGAATCTATTAATTCTTGTATTATAAGTGCTACTGCTGTTAATATTGCTTTTTTACGATCTTGTTCCATTTTTATTAGCAGACGCACGCTACCACGCTATGCTATTGCTGTTCACGGAGCTCGCATTCATTAGCGCTATCTTGGCTCCGTGAACGGAGCTAGTAGCGTTAGCGTTGATAGCGCGGTAGCGAGCTGCCCGAACGCACCCAAGATCTATTTTTTGATCCGTTTTCCCCGCTGCGTCCAACGACCACAAAATCTCCGGACGAAAATTGAAATATCACGTTTCCAGGATGTGTCGCCTAATTATAGAAATTAAAGGATAAAAAAACCGGTGTTAACGGAATGTTCGGGGAAATCAGAATGGCAGATATATGTAGAATCCTCGGACTCGCGCGTCGCGTGCGCAATCAACTTACGACATCAGTGTACCTTCCAGCTTGACGCTCTGACGTCATATCAATGACGGGATAAAACTTTCGCGATCATCGGCCAGATAAAGTTTCGGCGTTCCCGCGTTCGGCACTCATTCGTGCATTCGAGCTGGCACGTTGACAGTCGAAGTTTCGCGGTGCGATCGTCCGCCCGGTGTTGCGATACCGAATTGACAAGTGCTGGCGAAATTGTCAGAGTTTTTTACAGACCGCGATCGCTTCGCATCCTGGACAGCTGAATACGCTCGAAGATGATCGACATGAAAGAATTGGACGAGTGCTACAGAGTCGCTGAGGAATTGGTCCTATATGCAGGAAAGGTGCGTTTTTTACGCGAAACAATTCGCAAGCATTGCGAAAGTATTGGGAAAGTGCGCGATAGTGAGAAGACACTCAGAGATATCTGTCGAGTGATAATCACGAGTGTGAGATACTAGAATTGATTCGGTGGATATTTCAGAAACCCCGCAACTTCTCAAATAAATAGTTTTAAACGTGCGCTGCTAAGAACTCTGCAGTAGCATTTCAAATAAACTATACTACTTTTTTTCTAATTTTATAACAAGTTGCATCACGTATGCCATGTGATATTTGCAAATGTCAAATATTTAATTTTATAATTAAATAATATTATATAATAATATTATTATATAAAATTTAATTATCAAGTCTATTAACGAGATACCTTATATTTCTTGTTACACATCATTGTCGTAAATTTCGTCAGCTACTAGTTAAATTAACGAGTTATTAATTCACATATTGATGAGTAATTGATATTTAATGTGTATGAATTTATCGTACATTATAAATATGCAAATTGCAAAATTTTGAATTTTTAATGCATCTTTCTTCACGCTTAATAAATAGAAAATTTAGTAATAAATTTTGTTAACAATAAACAGTTACAAACAGTTAATAGCTGGTCTCATAAAAAAAAGCAATGCTCTCTCTCTCTTCTCTCTCTCTCTCTCTCTCTCTCTCTCTCTCTCTCTCTCTCTCTCTCTCTCTCTCTCTCTCTCTCTCTCTCTCTCTCTCTCTCTCTCTCTCTCTCTCTCTGAGCACCATATAAATGTATGCAAAATATACTAACAAAATTTCATTTATCGCAGGTAATAGAAGATGGCATTAATACGAAAAAGAGCACCAAAATTAAGGGGATCGATTGGGATCTGGTCACAGAATATGACCGCAAGATAGAGGACAAATTAATAAAACAATTGTCCGCGCAATTTCCATCCCACAAGTAAGTTATTGTGAGTGGCGAGCAATCGATAACAGGGATACGACAGTTATAACGATCTGTATTTCGATCTTCTAGATTTATCGGCGAAGAAACGGTGGCGAAAGAAGATCGTCTGCCACAGCTGACCAATGATCCTACGTGGATAATAGACCCGATAGACGGCACCACGAATTTTGTGCACCGTTTTCCACACACGTGCATCTCCGTGGCGTTGCTCGTGGACAAAAAAGTGGAAATCGGCATAATATACAATCCTCTCATGAGGCAATTTTTCTCCGCGAGAAGGCACTGTGGCGCCTTTCTTAATGGCAAGCCTATAAAAACGTCAGACGTAAAAGGTAAATTATACTTCCTTTTTTTTTTTAGATCAGTAATATGCACACAACAGCGTGATTGATGTAACAACGATGAATAACAGAAATGTCTGAAACAATTTTCATACATTACTACGTCCTTGTTGAAAATAAGTGTAAAAAATGCCATTTTACGGTCCGATGGAAGGTCATTCATTAGAAATCACAGAATACACTATATGTATATCAATTGATGTCGCGTCCTTCATAAAACAATCTCTTTCAAATCTCGTATGAGCTACAGTCAATTTGCCATCCATCCGAATAATTACTCCACTTTAATGTGCGTAACATTTCGAATTAAAAATCATACAAGTAATACATCTTTCCTCTCCAGATGTATCTCAATCATTAGTGGCTATGGAGCCATGGCTCGCGAAAGATCCGCAGCATTTGGCCAGCGTGTACAGCAGAATGCATGCTTTGATACAAAACACTCATGGGTAATGCATTTAAAAATATAGCGTCCATTTATATTAAATTAAGGCCCGATTGCACCGGCGTTATTTCGGCTTTAAGCGAGACTTAAATATGTGTCTGTCTTTAGAAAGAAAGATAGACACATATTTAAGTGTCGCTTAAATCCAAAATGATGGTGCAATCTGGCCTAAAAAAATATTGTTTTAATTAGAGATGTATCGATTAAATTATATGTTAATGGCGAATTGTTCTTTAGGATACGATCACTAGGAACAGCAGCACTCACGTTGTGCTACGTAGCAATGGGAGCTGTGGAAGCATATCATATTGAAGGCATAGATGCTTGGGACGTTGCAGCCGGAAAATTAATAATTGAAGAAGCAGGTGGAATTATAATTGATACTGCTGGTAATTATTATTTACATACTATGCTAGATTTCATCTTATCGTCTTCTTTTTATCCAAAAAAAACCCTTACTAAGTATTTAAAAATCTATATTTACAGGAGGAGAACTTGACATAATGACGCCAAAAGTTATAGCTGCGTGTAATCAGCAAATTTCACAGCAACTTGTAGATCTCTTCAAAAAAGCTGATTCCAATGTACTTAATAAGAACTTGACTTGATTAAAATAAATGTTTAACTGACATATACAATGTATATTCTATATCACGTTATGCAATATATGTTGTATGTCATATTACACTATTATGCAGACTTAAAAACACAGTATTATTAAGAGTGGCTAAACAAAGTTGTATTATATTTATAAAAATTGTATGCTAGAACTGAGATGTCTTGCAAATATAATTATAATACTTTTTGTTAATTACTGATGTTATTATAGTACATTTTGACAGCTAGAATTAATGAATGTTTACATATTAATGAGTGATTATTATATATAAGAATTATTTATTAATATCAAATTACTCTTTAAAGTTTAAATCCTATCATTGTAGAATATCATATTCTACAAAAATCTCTTCCCCTTTTTCATATATCTCGTAACTTATGTCAATGACACAGACATAATTATTATAAGTAATACATGCCAAAAGCACAAATTCATTATAACAATCAATAAATTTATCATACCTGTGGACCCATATTAGGTGGCATCTGCTGTGGATGAGGCGGATAATTCTGTTGTTGAGGCGGAGGTTGTTGTGGTGATTGAGACATAGGTGGAGCTCCTTGTGACATTGGTGGGCCACCTTGATAACCTTGCGTCGGGCTATGAGGATGATGTTGCGGAGGCCCCATTGGACTGCCTTGCGCATTAGAAGGAGATGGTGCCTGTTGCGGAGGACCCATGGGACTAGGAGCTTGCGGAGGTGGCATAGGTGAAGACTGTGGCGAAGGACTCGCCATATTATTATGCTCAAAAGGTTCCAGTTTATTTAAGAATCACCTCCTAAAAATAATCATAAATATAAATGTAAGAGTCTCTCTATGATTCTATACGCACCTGTATAATGTGTAGATGTAAATCTATATAAAGTTTAAAAAATATTTCTAATAAAAACCTATTTTACAATAACTTTTTTTTCCATGTGAAAATCTATCATTCTCAATATATGTATGGACATATGTATCGACAACTTATCATTTCACGTTACGAGATACCTTTCTCTCGATTTTCCTCTCCAAAAAGCTTAAGGAACACTCGATGATCGATTACAAATATATAAAAGCCATGTAGTAATAAATAGAGATCCAACGTTTTCTCACGGAAACAAAGCTCAACCTGCATCGGAGCTAGTAACTGATGAAGCCATTGCGGTATTTTCTAGGCTGCGTCCGGTATTGGTGCTCGATACTTTGCGTTTTACGTACCGTTTCAAAATTCCGTTACGGCGAAAAACACACAGGATTCGTTTCTATATGCCATCACACGCGCACACTTCTTATCAGAGATACAGAACATCAAAAAGAGACGGCATCGAACAACACCAAGAAATACACACTACCGGCCATTTTGCTACTTGACTCGCAGCTTCGTTATCCAATGATGAAATATGGCGACTTCAAGTACAAACTGTAAAGAAAAAAAGTACTTTGATCGTTTCCGGTCACTAAGCCAGATGGCAGTATTAAATCCTTTGTCCTAGAGTCCCTAGAAATACTGAAAATTAAGAAAAATAACAAAATAAAATACCAAATCCTTATTTCTAGGGACTCTAGTCCATCAAAACAACTAGCGGATCCACGCTGCGGATTGGCGACAGCAGAGAGAAGCCTGGAAATCGATTCTGTAGGTCTGTTCTTTATAGCTGAACTAATTATGTGGCTGCACTAGTTCAGAGTTTATCTTTTTCCCTCCACATTGGAAGGAACTAATGCAGCCAGTTTAGCTATAAAGAACAGATCTAGAATGTTTACAATAATGTTTTTAGTCTGGGTTTTACAAATAATCATCGCTAGCCAATCAAAAACGTTGCGACAAAGACAGATATCTTACGTCAATCAGCTCTCTTTTTTGCCTAGGGAAATCATCCCCACTCCTTCAAAGCTGTTCAGTTGTATATAGTTCAATAAGCTCAATGTGTGTGTGTGGAACAAACCCAGTGTATAAAGCAAGTGAAAACAAGAAAATGGCTTTGGCCAAAAAAATTGGTGGATTATCGAATCAATTATTATTTAAGAATAAAGTATTTTTATACAATTCAATAAGATGCTATTCTGACAAACGTAAGTGTAATTGAAATAATCACATGTTTTATGTTAAATTGAGATTGTATTGTGTTAAGTTTTGCTAAACATTGATAAGGTTAAGATACTGTTATTATGTAAGTAATTTAGTTATTCCACAAAAAATACAGATGAAACTTTATATACTAAATGTAATGTACTTGCATGTAAAAGTATGTGGAAAAGTAGCGAAGTAGTTGATGTATTTTCTAATAATTGTATACTGAGAAAGAAATTAACCAAACGTTTTGTATGATCTGTCATTAGCGTTACCATGGAATTACCTCTGGCAGCCAGATAAGTATTCAGAAAAAGATCACGATAAAATTGCGAAAAAGTTTAATATGCATCCAAAAGAATATAAACCTTTTTCGGATAAGGAAGCATGTGTTGGTGATTATCCAGATATATCAAAGATAGGACCAGCTGCTAAAGACCCATACTATCCATATGATATGCCAGTATATAGAAAAAACTATCACGAAATGGTAAATTTGCATACATATAAGATATTTCTAAATTATTTTAAGCAAATTGAAATCAGAAAACAAAGAAGATGAATTAAAAGATCAATGAATCAAAAACAAGATATAAAAACAATTGTAGTCAGAGATATTTGGATATATTTTAATCTGTTATCTGTATTTCATTATATTATGTTTCTTTTTTCAGCTACATCCCGATTTTGAAATGATGGGTGAAGATCGTTTTAGTTTTGGCTATAAGTATAGAATTGATCTAGCCTTAGCATCAGCAATATTTGTGGCATTTGTATGTACTCTTGGACTAATTACCTACATAACGGATCCTTATCCTTCATTTATACCTGTGGTAAACACTTTTATCTATGCATTTGATCAATCTATTTTGAACATTAATTGTTTCTAATCAATACTATGTTTAATCAAATTGTGTAATATTTTATTAATATCTATTTCAGATGGAAAAGCAATATCCACATAAAGGTGAAGCACATTATTCATTTGAACCAACTAAATAAATTGTGTATATAATGAATAGCCTCTGATAGATACAATAAACTTGTATGCAAGATACAAAACAGTGTCTGCAATATGTAAATACATAATATTTATAACAACATATGTCTCTTTATTATAACATTTCGGCAACATTACAATTTTTATTATTTATTATAATTTTAATTAATTTTCCTTCCAATGTTTCTCCTTTCTTTTTCTGCCTTGTAGAACAATCTATTTCACTTTACTACTAATTATTTTTCTTTAAAAATATTTATTAGGCATCTTGCACACAAATAGCTTCATGAAGTACTTAATTATTTCACTGATTCTCTATCTGGATCCTATTGAAAATAATGAGTGCGGTAAAAGAGTTTATGGTTTACAGTTGTAAAAAACTACATACCATCGACTAACACATTTTTATTTCACTTCTTCGTACATTCATTACAAAAAAAGCAATAACATTTGATCCAAAATTTGTATGCATACAAATCTTCAATATGTATTCAGAACATAAAAAGAGAAAGAGAAAAATGATGTCGATAATACTCATTAGTGTTGGTTGAACATTAATTGCATTGACATCGAAAGATCTTCATACAAATTGTATCCATTGTATCATGACGTACGTTGTAGTATACACGACCATAATGAAAATACAGATTAGAAAAATATGACGATGGGCTACGGAATAAATTGTACAATGAAACGCGTGAGCATGATATATTTCATGTGTCGATTAAAATCCGTCACAATTATCGTTATAGCGTAGTTAAGGACGTCGAATACAACACTTAGTAATATCACGTACTTACAAATGATATGCTTAATCAATTGTCCGCTTCCGTTATTTTCAGTGATTACACATCTCATAATGTTTGATAGTCTTGTAGAATGAGACACATATATTCCGCAAATACTAAGTAGTATTCCATTTTGCCTGCACCCGCCTTCTTTTTGACGTCTAACAGTAAAATACATTTCGACAGATATAATTGAATACGTATATCACGAGTATAAAGATGCAATGCTGTCAATCAGAAAATAATTGAGAGAATCTGCTATAACTTGGATTTCACATCTTACATGTCGCAAATACGTGGTACACATTAATAAATTCCAAAGTTTATACCTTTATCGTCGCGTGGCAATTGCACAAAGTAGCTGTACTTAAAAATGATATGAGCCCGAAGGAATTTCTTATTAAATGCAGATATTGCTTATTCAAAATATGAGCGTTTCCAAATATTGGTTATCAGTTATTATTCTGTAATACTTTCTTCTTTTTGCTTTTACGCCAGACTGAACTGTTTATTATTGACTAGATGTTTATCATGGACATCAGAATATTACACAGTAAATTCAGATCTGTACCTTTCATGGTGAGTTGTATGCATATTTCAAAAAATTATTCACTTCAAAAATTGCAACTAATTCTATATTTTTAATTAGTCTCCAACGTAGTCAACAATCTTCTATTATTTAAAATGTACGGATTTTGTATTTTTTTTTCTGCACTATATGCAATGTAAAATTTATATTACAATATTTTTTGATTATTATTCGTCTGAAATAGTCGACTCATCTGTGTGATTACGCAGCGCAAGTAAAACTAAATCAATTTCTGGATCATTAAAATTACTTTAAATACGGTACTTTAATACATTTCTTATTCACTTTCTATCTTTTTTTCTATTTTTTTTTTTTCTAATTTACTGCCCTACAAGTAGTGTTCCGTGGATATGTCATCTTTGTTGCTGTAGTAATAAATATTCTGATGGAACATAAATCAATGAAGCGTCGATACGCAGTTTTTTTTATGTGTGATACTTTCTAATACTTACCGTGAGATCTATGTGAGTGCAAAGTTACATACATATATCTTTTGACAAAGAATTGGTAACACATCGATAGCGATTATTACTTGTTTTGGTACTTATCGGTATTTGCTACTAATAAAAGACGGCCCAAACTGACGCAGCGATACAGCAGCGGGAAGGTTCCTTGCGAGACGATCGGTCTCACATCCTTTCCCGCAGTGCACCTTTGCGTCGATTTGCGCGGACTTGAATTGCCACTTCCTATTTTAACAGTACACGCAGAAGAACGTTAATCCATTTTCGGCGAGAGTTATTTGATTCAATTTTATTGAGTTTTTCGGCCGAGATGCATGTATGACCGAGCGAGGAAGCCCATGTGTGGGACAAATAATTTTGATACAAGTCCGTCTCTGATGTAGAAACTAGTTTTGCCTTTAGACCTTAAAACGCTTAGATGTGTGTGTGCCGAGGTATACATTTTAAATATTGACAACATAGTTCGTTCCGTTGTTAGACTAGATTACCAACATATGCATATATACAGTGTAATAAATATTGTACGATCGACCTCCGAACGTGCAAATAAACCTCGCCTTAAAATCCGAGTATGCGGTAAAATTACACGATATATATGTAATATATATATCACGTGTTTAATTGTAATTTTTTTTTTTTTTTAACGTTAACAGCAATTGCTTTAGAGTCCATTTCATTCAGACTGTCATTTTGAAGCTAAGACATTCAGCAAATGATAGAAAAAAGAAAATACAGCTACGTTACCGCCTAACTATGTTACTCTCTAGTTTATTAGTCAAGTATCGAGCGTAAGAAGAAAGCAGTTGCGGTAATTGTGTTTCGTCTTCTTAGCAACTCAATTTCCTACTTGCAAAGCAGCTTAATTGCCTATCTAATTAGTAGATCGAGTCTAACTTCTTCGTTGCACATTCAATGGATCATCTCACTCGTATTTTGGTAATATAGTACTTAAGATTATTTACTTATATATTCGTTCGTAATATGTAAAAAGGAAATTCTGCCAATAGTCTAACAGAATCTTCATGCAATTATAGAAATTATGATACAGTGCCGATCCGTACAATTGTCTCTCGGGAAGGTCTTTCAACTATTAACAGAATTTCTAAAAAATATTGTACAAAATATAAACGGTTGTTTATCAACATTGGAAGATAAAGATGTCATTAGAAGCCTATATGCAAAAATATGTATAACAGCTGCCTCGAGAAACAATATGATAGAAATTGAAAAAGTAGATAAGACACAAGTCGATTATACGATCGCTTCTCATTTAATGCAAAAATTAAATTAAAATATAGTATAAAAAAAATTATGCATGCGCTGTATGCGAACCTAAGATGGCATCACAATGATTCAATAAACTTAAAAAAAATTACTAGCCTGATGCAATATACTGTACATTTACAATTATCGATACAATGGTAGATACACGCGATATAAATTCATGAAATTATGTATACAAGTAAATTATTTACAGCGTTAATAGATCTCTGCTTAATGCTATATTGAGAAAAATCATTTCGACATTAGCTAGAGTGGGCGAAAACATAAAACACGCACACGCATTCACTCATGCACCGGTAATGAACTGAATACTGACGACAAAGTAGCAATATGTGCGCTATTGTTGCTGCATACTTGTCACATATAATGTGCGTAAGCTAGCTGTTTTCCCGCAAGATTCTACAATGATTTCGTATCATAAATAAGTGGCATAAACAAACGCAACGTTATGTACAATTTCATTCATATTGCGTATTCATTAGCCAATTATATCACATTAATTTTTAAGAATTTCTTTTCCGCACAATGTCACAAGCGAGTGTCATGAATGTCGAGGATGAAGGGATTTATGCAGATCTTTCTATCTAAGTTTGTGGGAGTTCGCTCGGTAGAATTCAAACTATTGACACTAACTTTTATACGTATATGGCAGCTTTTCAACTACTTTTTAAAATTTTGCGTATCTATCCTGGCAATTAATTTCTCTGGATTGCTATTACCCGTGTTTTGTACTAGAACGATGTCAGTTGTCAACTAAATGCTTAGGCCTTTTCTGTTGCTGTTATATCACTAAATATTACAAATCTTGATGTTACACGTATCCAAGATGAAGTTTGAGAATCGATGAATCATTCATATATATATATATATTTACCGGTTATTATTACACGGGTGAAGCATTATTACCCAAATAATAAACTAAAAAAGAGATTGACAGGCGGATTCATTCACTTGATTCATTCTTGAAGAAGAGGCACGCAAACTGCTATATTTATTATTATATGGCAACATCTTCCATTGTGGATTATATCTAAAAGTGGTGTCATTGAGTGTTAGAAAAAAAAATACAAGATATATCCACTTTCAATCGTGGCAAAATTAATCCAATTGCTTGTCCCGTGGAATGTATTATGAAAATTAGTGTTCAAGTTTAGGAGAATATTTCAAGTTTTTAGTTGAAAAAATCGCTTCGAAAACTGATAAATTATGGAGTTAAATTAAATTTGGATAAAAATTTTAATTACATATTTATCTTACCCCATAATCGTTAGGTAGTGATGTGAGTTAAAGTTGAAAGCTTTGATATCTAATAACAAGTTGCCAACAAAAATGTTTTTTTTTTTTCCTATCATCATATACAATAGTATATGTAACAGTTGCGCTCAGTCGTACCATGTGTCCCGAGATATGCGCGCCAGAGCGCTAAACACGAGACTACAATGGCCCTACATTAATCAACGTAATTGGTGTTCATCCTTGTGTAATCAACAGTGTTCTGTTGACGCTCGAAAATTCGCTTACCTACATAAAGCTAGAAATGGACGTTTACATACATTTAAATAAATTAAAAAGAAAAACACGTACTACTTTATACAATTCGCTAGCAAAGACAAATAAATAAGTCGTTTCTTAAATGTATCTAGAACAGTTGAAGATCGGGGTTTCTCTCATTAATATTAGGATAAACATTGTTACAGTTTGTAAGTTAAGTATAAGTTGCATATCTTCATAGCAAATACTTCATATCGGCTTGTAACAAAACGGAAAGACTATTAAAAATGCACTGGGATAGATATTGGTTTTTACCTAGCGTTCTTCAATGAATCCGAGCTTTTGGCGTTTCGATCTCGAATTGATGCGAATTTTTACAAACGTATAATTACTTTAAGTTAAATAGTGCAGTATGTTATACTGAGCCTACTAAATACTGAATTCATACGTTTCCAATACTAAAATTTCCGTAAAGTTTAATAATACAGTAAGACACAACCTCACAGAGGTTGTCGAAAAGGGATAGACTCGCTAACCCTTTCACCGCTCTTAGAGCGTTGTAGAATTTCTCCGCAAAAAAGTATATACCTAAATATAAATCTCCTAATTCACTGTGTGTGTGTATGTGTGTGTGTGTGTGTGTGTGTGTGTGTTTCAGCCTTTCGATTTCGAGACGCAGGCAGTGAAAGGGTTAGGTATATTCTAGTTTTGCGACTGCGTCTTCTTGCCGCCACGTGGCTTGATACTTTCGGAAATCTGCCACATCGCCTCCTCACAGAGGAAATCACTAAAGTTGTTGAAAAATGTTATGATGCGTTCGTGTTTCTTGAAAGAGTACGTGCTGCAAAATATTAAACAACAATTATGCAAAAATGCAAAGCGGGAGTATCAAAATTTATTATCGAATTAGTAAAAACGGAGATAATCACCCTTTCTTAAATCTTTTCATATTTTCAACAATGTTATATTGTTGCCATCTCTTTGAGAAGTTTATAGTGCCATCTGGTAATAAATCGCTATTTCCAATATGCACAAACGTAAGATCTTGTAAAACAAGTCCGCTGGAAGAATACGCGTGCGCATTGTTAGAGAAATATACGAGGATATTCGCATTTTTTTAATAACAAACACTCACATATAAGGAATACATGGTGGTTGTGTATCTGCTAGAGCTTGTCTATAGGCTCGGAAACTGCTAGAGCTGTCGATGAGGGCGCAATACTCCTTGAGACCTTCCGTAATATGCTTCTGCCACTCGAGTCTCCTAATGGGTGCACTGTCCAGTGCAGACAACAATGCGAGATAGCTATTGAAATTGTTAATCTTCCTAAGGTGTTTCATTATTTTGATGAACTTTACAACGTATTTCTCCCTGTCTTTCGCCTCATTTTCTAATCGATGTTCTAGTATCCTAGATCGTGCCCAGTACGACATTTTGTTGAAATGCTCAGTGAATCTCGTAAGATTCGGACTTCTCTCCTCGTTCTGCTCCTGCGCCCAGATCAGCACTTCTGGAATTTCTATTTTCATGAACAAATCGGCATCGAGCAGTGTCATTTGTTCCGCGATCTGTTCGCTTTTGAAGTCCAACAGAGATGCCTGCTTCGTTGTTACACTTAAAGACGAGAGAATCGGCTGTGCCGCTTGCAGCTGCTTGAGACTGTGCTTCTCTAAAATCTTAACTCGCAACGCTTTGGCCATCGTGAGATCCCCGCTGCACACCAATTGCTGCACAAATTCCATTAGAGTTTGCAGAAGAACGTCGTCGAGATCGGATATTCTGTAGAAATAATTAATTGCATCAGATTTTATTCTAAAGCTATAAGAATAATAAGTGTGAATAAAAATTTTTGTTTACGTTAAATCACTGACGACTCTAACTAATAAGGAAAACGCTTCGCGCGCGGCTCTTTGCTTGACGACATCTGGAGAACACGAAAAACGTTGATGGCGTCTGTGTAGCTTTCGAATTAGTTCTAACGGCTGTATAAAGGTTCTGTACGTCGTTAAGAACGCCTCTTGATATAGAAAGTCTGAAAAAAAGTATACATTTCTTCTGAAATTTAGTTCATCTAACGTCTTATTATATCACACACAGTTTTCATGATTCATTTATCATTTTCATGATTAATACATCAATTACCTGATTCTTTCTCATCTACGCAGCATGTAAAACATACGATATAATAAATAATATGATTGAAAAATTATTATACATTTTTGAAAACTGAATTCGTTCATTAGTTGTGAATACTTGATCGATAAATAATAAAAGAAAAAGTACCATACCGTGTTTGTTCGCTTTCGTCGCATGGATTAGTAATGCATCGGGATGTCCACCGCGTATATCCGGCCCTTCCTCTTCCGCTTTCTTCAATACCAAGTATTTGCTAATGTCTAATTCGTCTAAAATACTGTCGTCTTGATCGACGTCCCTCAGTTCAAGAGTGTTTTCGTCAACTGATATGGAAGAAAGCGCATTACTAGCCGGCCTGGACGACGGCAATGCTGCGTCCAAGATAATATTATTATTCTGAAATAAAAAAAATTATACCGCCGTGAATGTTAATGATCTCCAATACAGCAGCCAATTTATTACATCGAGATTTACCGATTTCACTGGAGTGGAAGGTGTAACGTCTTTCTTCTCTTGCACGTGAGCTGGCTCGTCTGGCTTCAGGGGCGTTGATGTCACGAGGGGATCCGAGTTATTAATACTTTGCATACTGATCGTAGGTTTCGGCGATATCGGCGGAGGTGTAGAGTTTGATTTGATGGAACGAGATCTCTTTGGTGGTAACGCCGGCGGCAGACTAGAATTATTTGTTGCATCTACCGATACTAAAGTCGGTGCTGGAGTCATAGAAAGGCTGGAAAAGAAAACAATTGTCAAGAAGATGTTATCGAAACTATCTGTAAAAAAAAAAGGTAGGAAGAATGCATGAATTGTGTATCATAGAAATACGTACCTTGAGCTGTCACGTAATTCAGTCACGGTGTGCGCCATAAAGGAACATGATTGTGTTGTGGTAAGAGACATCTCATGTTGCTGCCATTCTGCTTGCATCGAGTTGTAGGCTGCTACAGAATGCCGAGTACCGAGACCGGAGATGAAATCGTTATTACTGTGGGAGCAGTTTCCAAACATCTCCATGTACGCCATGACTGAAATGCATTCAAGTGTACGGATTAATGTGGATTTTCGTAAGAGTTCCGAGAAAGAGAGAGAGAGTGAGAGAGAGAGTGAAAGAGAGAGAGTAATTCTTGTTATTATAAATTATTCTAAATAAAAACTGAATGGCGTATAATACAGTCGATGAATACAAGCATGACGTATGCTGCAATAAGATATTAAGGCACATGGTGTATGAATCGTGTAAAAACACTGATGCGCAAGCAAATATTGTCGTGTGATTGTTATTTCGATAAGCCACGTGTGTATAAAACTGAAAAAGTCAAACTCACTGGAGTAAGAGTGGAATCTTTTGAACAGCATCTTTCGTATTGCTGCGTGTCGTATGATATACTTCAACAATTGAGCTTTTGTATCGCGAAAGCGAAGTGCTGTAGTGATTGCAGGTTTCGTTAAAAAAATACCGTGAAAGTTAAGATTTCATGTTTCACTTTTAGTCGGTTTTAGTCCGTTTGTCTTGAAATAGAAATGGAAACTAAGCTTTAATTCAGTTCAACGGCTGACGGAGATGAATTAACCGACTATTAATGGAAAAGGTCAAATTAATTAAAGAAAGATTATAGCGCCCACATCAACTTGCAAGAATGATTTTTTTTACATTTGTGTTAATAAATTGTATAAAACCCATGGAATTTTTTATCTCAAATACACAAAAGTAAATCAGTATGTGTTTGATATAATCATAAAAATTCGTAATAAATATTTTTCAAAATTATGAAAATTATCAGTAATTTTCAAAAGACAAATATGGATCAATCATGAAAATAGATTATAATAAAAAATAAACAGTATTAATTATGTATATTTAGTATATTTTTCTCGATTAGCATAATCATTGAGTGTCATAGCTAAAATTTCCGCAAGAATGAAAAAATAAGCCACAAAACTGCAATTATTAATAAAAGTTCAAGCTCAATATCAAACACAAAATCGTGTTCTAAGAATGTCCTAGATAAAAAAAATAGAATAACAGTAAACATGCCGCAAGAAGCCTGGAATTAAAATTTGATGTAAATATATGAAACATAGGACACATTAACTTAGCGTGAAAGTGTTTGCTGGGGGTAGTTGAATATTGTGTGGGCAGAGGATCCCACTTACCAGAATATGCCACTGATTGGAACACTGGGGGATACAAAACAATTGCATCAGTTTTAACCCACTACCAAAAAGTAATTTGGAATGTCTACTATAATTTTATTTAACTACATCGCGATCAAATCTGAGAAAAAAGTCAAACAGTAAAGAGACATTTAAGGCACCAGATCTTGTTAAGAAAGATCCTTTTACTGTTTGATTTTAGAGAACATAAAAAGAATATAAAGAACATAATATTATTTTAGAGATTATTACATTAGTTTCTTGAAAAATTTGTCAACGTAGCATTTTTTCGTCAAAGTCGTGTAATTTTAAAATTGACAATCGAGAAATGAAGCACCAACACCAACACTCTTATTCTGCGCGCTTTTTTTATTATTGCCAATATCGATAAGTGTTAAAGAGATTACTCACTGTGACGTTTTTTCAGAGGCAGAGGAGGCGGCTTGCTGGCATCCGGACTGTCTCCGTTGCTGGTGTGCAAACTGCACGTGGATAAATGCTCATTTTCTGGTACATTATCGTACTGCGATGGCTGACGTTCTTTCCTTCTTTTGGATCGCTTCTCCGGCAACGCCGGAGGCACTCCGTTAGAATCGGACGTAGCTACCGATTCCATTTCCTGTGTACATTATTAAAGTTACGTTGTGAAGAGAAAATTAGAGTACAAAAAATGAGATAAAAATGTGTGAAACATAAAAAAAAACGTAACAACACCCACATTTACCAGTTTCTCCAATAAAGCTGGGTCTCCGTTTCCAGATACATTAGTCGTGCTAACAGTACTTTTGGAACTAGTCATGGTCTTCTGTGTAAAAATAGAGCCGTTACTATCCGAGGATGATTTGGTCTGAGAGAACGACTGTTGTTGCGCACTAAACGATTGAGAATTATAACTAATGCTGCTCTGCTGCGACGATCTCTTGGACGTCATGCTGGACGCGGTGTAACTTTGGGATGAACTTCGCTGCGAGTGCATCGAAACAAAGCCTGATTCCTGTGTTTGAGTAGACAATCGCTCCATCTTCCCTTCTATGCCTGGAACAAAATAAATGAAAAGCAAGTTTAATTAGAGCAATCGGAGACACCAAAAGAAAATATATAAAAGTGACAAGAAAGCTTGTTCCTTACGAAAAAACATTTTGACATGTTCCCAATTGAAACTAGATCTATGTGACATTTTACATAAAGTATGCTTTATAATAGCACTGTGATATGAAGTGAAAGAGAAAAGAGTGACTGTTCGATCTCGCCGTTCGACTTGAGCGAAGATGTATAAGATACTGTTTATTCATGCGGTCGGAAGGTCGATTCCACCCACGCAACTTGTTCCACTAACTATTTCAGGAATTCTTGCGTAATTTTATCTCTGGCATTTTTCCTTCCCTTTTGCATGCGTTTGCAGTTTTGGAATACTTTATTTAAAAAAAAAAAAATAAATAAATTAAAACACTTTTAATTTGTATAATTTTAATTTGTAAATTGCTTCTTTCATTATCGTTTTACGTGTGTAAGAGAAATATATACGTTTTTCAAATTTTATCAATCTCGCCAATTTATTAATTTGTTTCGTCATCATGCTACTTATTTGTATAATAAAAAAAAATTACACACCAGTGAATGGACTAAGCATTTCTTGAGGCGTTTGTTGGCCTAGCAACATAGTACTTGGTATACTAGTTTCAGACCCATCCCAGCAATTACAGTTTGAAGTACCATTAACTTGCATGCCTACAATGATACAGAATATATATTATTTTGCAATAAACGCATAATCGAAGATTATAACATAAAATATAGAAAAATAAATACACAAATAAACTCACGTCTAATGTTGTAAATATATATAATAATATATTTATCAAAAAATATTAATAACGGCAATTTTTCTTTCATAAAAATAGCATGCATTGATTATCTAATATAAGTTTATGATAAGCATAATATATATATAATATATATATATATAATATATATATAAATACCCGATATTATACAAAACTCCTGAAATGTATTCATAGCTAACTTATACTTAGCTTCGGAGCTAATTTATATTTAGTTTCACATACTTTTTGTACTTCACATCCTTATTATTAACCACGGTGTATATTAAGCTTGACAATATCCCATATCTATAATAATCGCAAATTCTTCTCGATACTAAAACAGCGCGTCGCGTAACCAGCAATAGAAACAGTTCCGACAAACGTTCAGTTGTTGACTGAGACAAGTGGAATACCAAACTGACATACTGAGTAAGCGCTGACCGCTCGTCTTACACATATGGGAATGTATTCACAGCAATCGCCTTACCAGACACACATGATTCAGAAACTAAAGTACAGCGAAACGTTACTAATTGTAAGATTAGTGTCGCATGCATTTCACTATTATTTTTTGTTACAACACGATATCTCGTCGTGTACGAGATATTAAAAATTAAATTTGAATGACGCAGCGATGCGAAAGAAAAATTTCAAGTGTAAAGCGCCCAAAATACCTTGAATAGTAGCCATGAGACTTAGGTCCATACTGTCATTCAAAGACTCGTCATTTGGTCCCATTATAGCTCGAATCTCGTCCTCATCTCGGGAATGATTCAGAGCCGAATCCAAACTACCGGCGGACGCGCTCAGAAGCGACGACGAGTCCTCCGGGGATCGACTTCGAAGGGATACTCTATCAAGACTAGATGCCAGAAGACCCTCCGACTCGTCGAGGAGCTGCTGGGTCCTCGTTCTTCTCTTCGGCGGTAACGGAGGAGGTGTGCCAGACGAGCTGTTTTCCTCCGACAAACACACATTTGTTCTACAAGGGATCGGGCTATTTCTATGTTCAACCGACGCGTGATTTATCATCCGCTTGCTTATACTCGAAACGAGTGTTACCTGTCGGGTAGCGGGGGTTTCGGGGGTGGACTAGAATCCCGTAAAATCGACTCCGAACTATGCGAGCTGCGAACCAGACTACTGCTCGCCGCTGTTTGCTCCAAGATCTGCCGTTCTCTTGGCGTCAACGGTATGTCCGGCAGAGAGTTTCTTTGCGTTAGTTCCGATCCATAACCAGAAGTTCTGTAACACATCATTCTTATGTTATAATTCGTTTTGAAAACGATACTGCAAACTCTGTATTGATAATTGATCAAATTCAAATTTACACAAACTTCAAAATTGAAATTATCTCCACAAAATGCTAAAAAAGATTATTCATAATTAAAGTTCAGAATGCTGTAACACGCGCGTTATTTGGCGCTATTCGCGCTGAACGCTTCTGAATGCTAAGCGAGAAATAACGATAGAGAATTCTCCATCTAAGATAATCGTATGATTATCTAACTCTCTATTGCTATGTCACGTTCAACATTCAGCGACGTGCCATGTTACAGCACTCGTTCTAGCTTTACTCACAATCTACTCCGTTTCAATTTTCGTTTCGACATCAATATGGTTTTTTTTATCATTTTTATCAAAATATTTCATGCTAATTAATATTAATTCCGCGTACCAACCATATATTATTTCTCGATATAAAATATAAAGCCAAATTATATATAGTATTAAAATTGGATATTATTCCATTTCCAGGTTTTTAAATTTTTATACTAATGCATTCATGCTTATAATTTTTCTCTTCATTTTTAATATTTTTTTTGTTCAATATTGTTACGTGATGGCAGAAGAATAATTTTCTTTTTGTTTGTTATGCTGAAGCATGATGGTTTTCAATTTATTATATTCCAAAATTACATTTCTCTTAAAATTACCTGTTACTATTTGCCGCAGACGCTGGTTTCTGCTTATTAGCGATCTTCTCGTGCGCCAGGGCTACTAAATTTTTCACCGCTTCCTCCACCAACCCAATAACGTGCGTCACGTTTTCGGTGTCCAAAGCGGAGGACTGATCACCGTGCAATAATACATCGTCGCAGAGTTTCAGCAACTGCGCTAGTGCTTGGTATACTTGATTCGTGGCGGATCCCAACGTGGAGCTGCAACAATACCAGAATATAAAATTAGAGACACAGAAATGTAAATCGATATTTTACTTTAAATCAGATCCAAACGAGAATTACATTACTCTCTTTCATACGTGACGTCGTCATTTATCGTAAAACAGATTTCTATTGTGAAAAAAATGTAAACCGAGGGCAAATAAAATGCTGCTGAATCAATTACCGACAGGGCTCTATTTTCAGAAAATAAGATCAACGATACAAAGGGACTTTAATTAAAGGCAAGTAAAATACAATTAAGTCAAGTGCCGAACAAGATTCTTCTTTCAGGAGATAAAATCAATAATGTAAAACATCTTGAACGAATAAAGTGCAGCGAAATCAATCGCTGATAAGATTCCATTTCAAAAGGCACAATCAACACTCACCTGTTATCATAGAGCAAATAGGATTTCAACGCGTTGTGTATCGTGGTAACGGTATCGAGGACGATCGTGCCGTTGCCGGGCAGCATCTCGAGTTTCTTCTTGGACACGACATCCCGGAAGTGGAGCAGTGCCAGCTGCACCTGCCGTACGTGAATGTGCAGATCGCGTAAGGGATTCTTATCCACAGCGGTGCCGGAGTCGTTGCAGCCCGGTGCGCTCTTGTCTCGCGGCGTACGCGGTGACGAGGGCGAGGCGGCCCTCGTGGCCGCCCCGCTGCCTCCGCCGCCACCGCTGCCGCTACCAGGAGACCGCATGTGGGAGAGCTTTTCCAGAAAGTCCTCCTTGAAGGAGCGCGCACGACGCGCTAGTTTACCGCCGCGCGCCTTCCCGCCGGAGCGCTCCTCGACTTCTGCAACAAGAAGCATTCCATCTTGATGTTAGAAAATTCAAAATTATACCGCCATTTTAGATATTTCATTCCTTTTTATCTTAATTCCGCGCTCCAGAATGTAAAATTTAACGCGGCTGTGCAATATTTCAAACATATGAGCTTGATTTGAATATTTTATCACGCAAAATGTGATTGCACGTTGCGCATTTTATGATCTGATTGTGAGTAACATTTTTTACAACATTTATGTATTTTATATATTAAATTCAATTTTTTAATTTTGTAGTGACTGTTTGAATAATCCTCTCATAGTACGAATCGCGTTTCATAATTTTAACTTTTAGTCTCATATATTGACATTATATTTGTATTTCATCACTCTAAATTAGGTACTTAAGGTTTATTCATTATTTGATCTAAGTTTAATTGTGTAATTAAAAATACTACATACCACTTAGAAATATTTTTTTAAACAATATTTTGTTATGTAATAATAACTTTTCATATTTCCATGATTCAACGCGTATCAAAAAATAAAAGTGCAGAAATAAAAAGTTGACAATCAAACAAGTGCCTATATTTTGTCTGTTTATTTACTCTTTTTAAAAACATTTACACACGTACTTTTTTCGGATTAAATGTATAACGTTAACAATGGCAAATTTAAAATCTTGAAAAGCCAGTATAACTTCGCAATTCAGTGAAAGCTTTTCAAACCTTTTAGCGCAGTGATTTTCATTTGCTATAACAAATTTTAGCAAATTTAAAAATCTTTTTAAATAAAATTTAATATCTCAAAGATATAGAAAAAAATGTATTCATTATAATAATACAATATTATTTTCTTAATTATTCTACTAAAAACTCATAAGAACAGAGTCAACTCTCTTCTAACTCGTTCTATTTTCATCGCTGTTCAATTTTTTGGTCCAATTCTCGATTTTTAAAATAAAAACTCCGAGTGGAGAAATGTGCAACAGAAAAACATCGGATGACTGTACGTGCATAATGGTCGCGTCGTTACGCGCTTACAGTGTCTCGATAAAACAAAACCGGCAGATGAGTCGCCACGGGCGAAATAGCCGAAAAAAGGTTTCACCCACACGATTCTACGGTGCGCACAATTTTACGATATGCAGGCAATATTTTTCTGGATATATATATGGGGGTCAACGAACATCGAACTTCACTGCAGGGCGCAGTTATACTGTCAGCTCCGGTGCACACGTGTACGCGACGAGCAACCGTTGCACACCGCCAGACGCAGCGTTTTACCTTTTTCCACGGAGTGCTAATGCCAGCCGTGCACTTGAATTAAAACGAAAACGGCTGCGGCGGCAACGTAGCACCGGTGCACCGGACGTGTAATGTGTCTGCGGTGTTATAGCGAGATCTAAGTACCCAGGAAACGTTTTTCCACCCCTCCCGGACTTCCCGGAGAAACCATAGAACACCGATCTTGCCTTTTTTCGCCCGCCATTCGCTGCATCGTGAATCGACAATCGATAATGGTCCTTTGTGTCACGTACGAGGATCATAATACAACAGCTATTAATTTTTTTTAGTTTGGTAATATTAGTGAATTTAGTTTTATCATGAAATAAGTAATAATTTATTATTGGCAGCAACAATTAAATAATGCTTTGCATCAAATTGCTTATAAAGTGGAAAAAAATTTAAATAAAGAAAATTGTATTTCTGTAAAATTGTCTTTATATAAGAATAAAAGATTTTGCAAAGTTGTTATTAAAAAAATATTTGTAATAAAAATTAAAACAATATACAATGCAGATCTGCTATCAAATGCATGATTCGTACATTCAACTTTTAAAACTGAGAGAAGATGATTTATATCGAAAATACGATAAGCTGCTTTCTTTCTAAGGATGCTTAAAGCTGCCATGTGTAAACCGAAAATGTTTCAATGATTTTTTTTTTTCAAGAATTAAAGAGTTGTCAAACCGCTACAATAAATATGATTAAATAGTAAAAGAAAATAAACTGTTTAAACTTTGATAACAAATATTTATTTTTGTATAATTGTATAAATTTCTTGATTTATACTATTCAAAACAAAAATGTAAATAGAAATAATTTTAAGATACCGCATGTAAGTGCCGAATGCAATAAAAATAATTGTTGATCTTAATGCAACATTAATAATATTCACACGTACAATACATAAAAATTAAGCATGCAAATTAAATTCCACCAGTCAAGCCTTGGCGATCTTCAAATATTCTTCGCATATCACATGACATATCGGTATTGTGTATCGATCGCTCGGTTTGCTGAATAATTTATCGCAGCGATATTTTTCTGCGCTATCATCGTGTTCGATGCATCGTGATACATATCCCCCCGTCCGCGGGGCCATTTCGGCTTTCGCGCAAAAGTAATGGAAGCGATAAACATCGTCAGAATGAACTTCGTGAATTTATTACGGCGCATAAATCCCCCGCTCTCCCACGAAACTTTAGTGTTTCATGAGTAGCGTTGCTTTTGTGAACAAAGTGCTTGCGGGAAAATTGAGGGTACACAACTCAAGTTGTGTAGGGTGCCGAGAAAGAGATTTCAACGACCGCAAAACAATAAAAATACATATCACTAATAGCGGACCATTATGGAGACTATGCTATTAAATAATATGCACATATATTTCGCATCAACGTGCAAAGAAGAGAAATCGTAGCGTATTGTTTAAATATCGCGAGAGACGCGAGAGTATGCATGAAAGCTTGCAAGACAATGCAAGACTCAATGCAAATGCACTCGATTTCTACTGCGACTATCAGAATTTGACTAACCGTTGTTTAAAAAAAACATTAATGCTCTTTGTTCATCTTTATAAAAAATAATTGATTATTGTGTTTATTGTATAAAACAAAATGCGATTGCGTTCAAATGTTGGACTTTGAATATTAAGAAAAAACAAGAAAATCTTTAATTCTTTACAATTCTATGATAAAAAGATGAATACGATAATCTTGCGTAAATAAATCTTCACATAGTTGAAACAATGCAAACTATTTTTCTAATCTTCATAAAATTTTTTTAGATTTATCTTAATGTGATAACATCAAAATAAGGATAAAATACCTAATATTTACTTTGATTAATTCATCGAAATTAATTCAATTCGTAAAGAATTAAGAAAAAAATATTAGATAAAGAGAGGAAAATGGAAAAATCAAGATTTAATAATATGTATACGGACATAACAACAGAAGAATTACGCAGTATATCTGCAAGGAAAGAGAAAAAAGAAGAACAGAAAAGCCTTACAGCAAGATATAGATGCGGAAATGGAATGAAAGGAAGCCAACATTGGAAGGCAGAGAAAAAAGACATGCAGAGTATGTGGAAAAGGAAGAAAGAACTTTATACATATTTTGAGAGAATGTACAGCGACCAAAAGCGATATACAAATCAAAGATTTAATAAAAGAAGACAGAAAAAGATTGAGAATATAATAAAAAAGATAGAGCAGGCAAGGAAAGAGAGAGAAAAAGAGTAGTGAAGAGAGACACTCCGAGTAGCGATGATAGAAGAAGAATTTTAGCAGATTGTTGAAAGAAAGGACTGTCTTGTTATATTAAATGTGTAACGTTTAATGTTTTGAGGTTTAAGGTTGAATACTGTATATAGTGATTGCAAAGGGAGGCATTCAAAGCCGAAAGGCAAGAATTAACTAACTGAGAAAAAAATATTGCCTGATTATAGCAACTCGATACTTAATACATTTTCGGTATAAATAAAAATATCACTAACCAAATATTTTGTATATGCCAAATTTATAAAAGATTACAGTTGAAAATATTGAGAAATTCTAACATGAAACACGACAAAACTCCGTTTTACTTTAACGAAACGATTTGAAAATTGCAAGCGGATTGTTTCACTTGTCGATTATCAGAGATTTTCACACGCGGCGCGGCGTTGGTTTAACGGGCACTCGTTCGCCCGGCATCACAGCGCAGTCTGCGCGAGATCAGTCGATGCGTACGCAGGTAAATCAAGTTCTATTCACGAATTCGGCCTGAAATCTCAATCAGACGTGATTTGCGCCAAAGGCACAAGGTTCGACAAGCCGATAGAGATAATGGAGATGAGAACACACAGAGAGAGAGAGAGAAACAAGAGAGGAGACGAGACGAGGCGAAACGAAAGGGAAGGGGGCGGGGGGAGGAAACACGCGGCAGACAGGAGAGATGCAAATTGCCGTGATTGACTGCATTCACGGACCACGTTCGACTCCCACACGGTGTTATCCGTGGGAATGCGCGCACATATGGGAACGCGATACAATAGACGCGGCGCGGTTATTTACAAACCGCGACGCGCGGAATTATTTTGCGGATCCTGCGATCCCGCGAAGTGCCTATACACGTCCGATTATGCAAAACCGTCATGCACCGCTCGGTAGGAGACAAATGGAATCATTTCCCGCGGTCCTTTCGTATCATTTGTCAAGCGGTGTATCACGGCACGGTCGAGTTCGCGACATTCATCAACATTGCGGCGAGCGTTAAAACATTTGATTCGTTGTAATTGTTGTAACTCTTAATAATTTGAAACCGAATTATTAAAAGTAACAAGGATTGCAATTTAGTATGAATTGAGGTATAAAGTTGATATTTGTAGATAATTGCTTTTAATAATTACAACAATTGTGAGGATAATATAAATAAATGATAATATATGTATTAATGTATTTATAAATAATTGATTAATATTAATAAACAAATAATATAAAAATTTGTAAGCAAGACTGATAAAGAACTATGACCGTAATTTACGAGAGGAAATGTATAAAGAATTATATATGTGAACTTGTGTAGAATAATCTAATATTAACTGATCTGTATGATACATTACGAATCAATTATCGCGAGAGTAAACATTGTTTTATTTGATGATGTATTTGCGAGCGAAGCGCTATTGACTCGTGAAATAACGTGTTCTCATGCGGTGGCAAACACGGCGCTCCGCGGGACGTGATCAAGTTTGAATACGGA